CAGCAGCAGCAGCAGCAGTTTAAATTTTTTACGCATGTTTTAATCGCCTGAAACAACTTTATTGGAAGGGAACACAACAAAAAGACAACAAATAATTAATCATCAGGTCATTGAAATATAAAATAGATAAAGCCCCTGCCTTAGTTCCGCCTCCATGAATGGCCGTGAAGAAGGCGGTGCACCACCAGAAGCAGCCCCTCCGCCGCCGTGGGTGGTGTCGGGGGAAGAGGAGGATGCCATGACGACTGTGTCCGTCTTGAGGTGCACAAATAGCTCCTGTACGTGTGTATAGCGCGCACACAGCAGCAGCAGTTAGTTTCAGAGAGCAAATGAAAGCGCGAGGAAGATAATACTACAGACACCCTCTTTATTGTTTCGTCATCACATCACCTCGCCGAGATCATTTTTTTTCACGGACGGGAGGATCGCATCACATTCATTTTTTTGTGAAGGCTTGCACGCGACGGATGCCCGCACTCTAACAGTCAGGCACCTACATAGAGATTTGCAGGGAAACCGTCGACTGTATGATGGCAAGCACCAGGTCGATAAGACATGCATGAAGGCCTTGGCCCCCTGTCCAAGCCTTTTGGTCCGCTGCTCTCTCTCTGCTGTGCCTCTCTAGATTACATATCGCTCCAGAATAAATGTAGGTTACTTGGTACCGCTGAAGCGGTAGATCAGGTCAATCATTGCATACTTTGTAGCCGCCTGCCACTCCTGCTGCTGCTGTTTAAATACCTCACCGCACCGATCGAAGATATACATCCGCCTGCTGTCCCAGGTAAAGCTTGGCCCCCATGTTATGAACGCGGGACAGGGTTGCTACCTACGAGATACGATTAGATACGGAGTATGCATAGAGCGGCGTGCTCCCCCTTGCGTCCGGTGGTGACATGTCTGTCGGATGAGTGCACTCTTTTTCCAGCAGTATTGTGTGTGAATTGCCGCGCACGACTGAAGAAGTCTTTCCACTTTTCGCTGGTGCGATGAAAATATCAATGGTGGCCAGACACAACAAGACAGACAACCGCGACACGTGTGGCGGAAGAAGGGGAACCCCTCTCCCCTTCGTGGGCACACACTTGCGATAGGTACAAGGCCTAGAATCCATCACCATGAGACAAATCAAGTACTACCGGGACTGGGTTGTTCGCGAGAGCCAGATCTCCTCAGCACACTAAAAAAGATCACGAGAGATGACCACAACCTTTTTCTGTCGCCGCACGGAACGCCGCATCGATCGGAGGGACAAATAAATGTAGAGAAAGAGCGTGGGCGTTGCAATCTGCGGCCGGCCGGATATCGTATGACTTGGACTAGCGCTCATCACTGGAAGATCGCAGCAGGAGAGCTAACTCCCGTGGCCTCTCTTGCCTCTATATCCTTCATCTGTCAGGCCGGCTTGCAGCAGCAGCTACAGCAGTAGGTACTGTCGCAGGATTCCAGCCATGGATTTTCGATGGCACCCTGTGGCACCACGCCTTTTTTCATTTCATTATTTATGAACCTGGTGTGAGCGCAGGCTGTAGCAACAACGCAACACCGCGCCCGGCATCGGTGGGCGCCCCACGCAAACACGCAAGGAATCTTACCCTCCGCTACCCCTTAGCCCTCCTCGCTTCACGCACCTGCTCTGACGATCCGACGACCTAGCTCTGCCCCCTTCTGATGTGCAGAGCTACAGCAGTAGAGCTCGACCCCAAAAAGAGCGGCGGCGTGAAGATCCCGCTGCACCCAACACCGATTGCAACAACGGCGCCGGGCTGCTGGGCACCGGCGAGCTCGAGCCAGAGTCAGGCCTCCACAATGCTCTCGACCTCTGCCGCGCCGCTGCCCCTTGCTGTTGAGAATCTGGTGCCTCCCGGTTGGTTGTTGTGTGTGTGAGGGGCGGGGGCTGCAGCAGCAGCATGCATACGTTTCCGGTGGGCCGAAAGATTACACCTGCACACCGCACCTGCACAATGCACCTGCAAGAGGCAGAAAAATAAAAAAAAAGAGAGAGAGCAGGTGGTCGATTGTTCCGTCGTACCGTATATATACCGGTCGTACATTCAGCTTTCAACGGTCGAGCACTTGCTTGCCCCCTCCCCCATGTTTTTTCTGTGGGTGGGGGTTTGGGTTGGGGTTGCCTATTGCAGTTCTGCGTGGAGCACCGCCACGTTGTGTTCAGGCACGCTCGGTACTTTGCGTGCATGTTCCCTTTCTCACACCATGAGAGAGCTACACAGACAAGCACGGGGCACACGCACGACACGACGGGTTGTCTCAACAACTAATTCCAACATTCATTCATTCCAACTGAAACATACCCAGAACATACCAGCAGCTATTCGTGGATCCTAGAGCGTACCACAGGTGTGCGCAGACAAGTGAATGCGTTGTTTGCCACCAGCAGTAATCAGCAGGTACCGTTCAAAGAGGCGAGGCGGAGGAGTCGTAAACAAATTTACTCAGGCTGAAAAAGGTTTACTCAGGCTGAAAAAGGTAAGGATGCGGGACCGATCGGCGGGTCGCGGATCAACAAGAGAACATCATGCAGTTGTGGTCCACGTACGTACGTCATACGTCAAGATATATAATTATGAAGCGGTTGAAGAGTATCCGTCGGTAATTCCTCCGTTGGTACTTTATTTATCCATGGCGGCAACATATTATCCTGGATCACAAGATATGATGACATCGAAAAATGTGTAAGATTTGGGGACAGAGCTGACCTGCTTGCTGTATACGTAGCATACGAGACTGATACTACATGTAGAAGAGAGCGAGCGCACGCTTTCAAAGTTGTGTTTCTATGCAAACTTATGTAAACCGAGCCTTGATGTCACCCGAAAAACATGCCTATTTCATGCATGGATCATACGAAACCACCCCTGTACGCACTACTACCTCGAAACAACTGTTAGTGCGAAGGTGTACCGATTCTGGTAAAAGTCAATCGACGGATACCCTGCGAATCGGGTCCTCCTTAACACTCTCCACCCACAGAATTTACCCTCAACTGGGAACCTCTTGTGGCCAGGACGGGTAATTCGATGGAAGTGTCACAAGGTTCTTTATAGGAGCGATTCCAAGAGGTGTTCTCAGGACTGACACACATGGTGTCCATGGGAAAATGTCCAAGTCAGGAGAAAAAACGTGCACCCAAGGGGATTCGAACCAGTATACAGCTGACGCCATATGCGAAGGTGTACCGGTTCTGGTAAAAGTCAATCGACAGATACCCTGCGAATCGGGTCCTCCTTAACATTAGGGAGTAAATTATTACAATAATCCTGTCAGATAGTCGTCCATCATGCACGACATTGTGGTATTGTACTTGATGGGTGATGGCAAAGACTGAATGTTTGCGCGTGTCTGAGTTTTTTTCGCGGGCCTCAATAATCGGAAACTGACCGGGGCTACGGTAACATGTTTTGCGTGTGAACTCGGCATGCATGTTGTCCGGCACTTTGTTTGCTCCGACAGAACTGCGGTGTGCATGTGCAAATGCTGGGGAACTTTGTCACCGACTGTCCTGGTGCCAGGTGACGACTCACGCGAACACGTGATACACAAGCGTCGCAGCGGCCAGGAGAGGCGTGCTAAGACGGGGGTATCTACCGTATAGGAGAATTTTGCGAGTGAGGTTGCTGCTGTGTGGGAATCGTGATGCTCGTGCGAAGCTCTGTCCCCACAGCCGGCGTACAACGCCAAATGGTGGAGGCATTTCGCGCAAACGATGCCTGCTTACATGTGTGCTACTGTAGCTGTTCAGGTTTGTTTTCACAACAGCTCCCCATTTACTGCCCGCAAACCCGTCGCTAGTTCGATCTTCTTGATGCAATCAACCCGTCCCATGTTATCTACAAGCCTTTCGCCGCCAGCACCCGTTCAACCTGACAACAAGCTAGGCAAAACTGTAGGAGATGCCATCTTCCACGCCAGCCAGTGGCACACACCAGAGAGAGCAGCAGCACTGTGCCTTCATGAAACGTCTCCAACGAATCCCCACACTGCCGAAGTATACGGAATAAATGCAACGTGACTGATCATTGCCACCATTCAAGACCCCAGGTTGAGCAACGCCGTTGCTTGATGTACATGATATTTGCGAGAGACAGCCACAAACGCGACCGGCTGATCCTTCGGTCTCCGCAAGACCCAACGCTTTTTCCACTGCCTACAGTAGTCGCCGCGACGTGACCAAACATCGCTCCTTGAGGGCGTAGACTAAACAAGACAGATAAAAACAGCGAATGAAATATCACTACAAAACACGGTTCTCCACGTACGGCTCACGCGGAGAGAGCCTGCCCTCCCTTGAATGTTCTGTCGATGATCCAACCCAACACCGCTCGCGTACAAAGCGATAGAGGCAAGGGCAGGACGACGCTCCAGAAACTCTATGGTACAATACAAATATAGGTTTCGTGTGTGCTACAGCAGTACGAGTGTTGCACGCGACACACACACGTGGTAGTCCAAACGGTGCATCGTCCGGCCTCCCATATGAACACCGCGTGCGCCAACAACCGTAGCGAGCACCCACGCCATGCGGACGCCGATGTACTGCAGTGCACGCTCGACTGGCCAGAGACCTCTAGCAAGTACACAACGATCCACTTACGCTGCCCTTGCCTAATACTACTTTTCAGGCGGCGAGAGTGTCTGCAAACAGCCCCACAACCCACAACACACCAAGAGACGACGAAAAAGTACCTCTATCCCGTAAACCGCCATCTACAAACAAACAATGCTAAACCCAGTCCCTCCCTGCCCGACGGGCGGTCCTCCTAGTGAGAACGAAAGAGCGGTTCGCTTTCTTCAGGAAGAGAGCGATTTTTTACCAATAAAAAGAATATCATCACGCCGCACGTATGTTTCGCGTTGAAAGCTGGCCTGACGACAGAAATCCCAGACGCCACACCTGCAGTGAGGTAGAGCCAACCAGCGCGTAACAGAACGGCGACGAAATTCCTTCGCCCCCCCCCCTGCCCCTCTGCAGCCACCTTGTTTCGGTGCATGCCCCCCTCGACCGTTTGGTGTATGTAATAAAACTCTCACACAACTGATGCAGGCCCCACGATATACTACTGCCTCTCCTCCAAATAATCGCGCCGCCGTCAACGAAACGCTTGGTCTCCTACTTTCCATGTCGACCGCCGACCGCAAAAGCCGAGTAATCCCCCCCTCGATCGTACGCCCATGCTCGGCACCCGTTCTTTCTGTCGTCGGTGTAAAATTCCTGCAGATTTACATTGTGCTAACTTGCTATTCCCTACAGTATCCAGTCCAGATCGCCCTTGGAAAACAGGGACCTCTACCCCTTGCCAACAGGGGGGTGGCAGCAGTCCACTTCGCCCGTGGAAAATATCGACCTCTACCCTTGCCAACTCGGGGGGGCGGCAGACCGGCAGTAGTTTTTTCCTTTCTCTTCTGCTTTCCGGCTCTATTGTTGCAACTTGCGACATTCATCCTTCGCCCTAAGACCAGAAAAAGGGAAATAAATCCATGGTCTCTCTCACATAAATCTCGGCACGCCCAATCAGCAAAATCGATGAGATGTTGCTGTTGCGGGCGGCAGGCGCGTCAAAGTTCCCATAAGGGGCTGACAACACGCGCCCTAGGCCGCGACCTCAACCTCATCGCCGACCGCCCTCACTAAGAACAGGGTGAAAACCACCAGCAAATCGGGAACGGACAGCTCGAGCGCCAGCAGCAGTGAGCTACCTCCAACCGCCGACACGACAAGCGCGTTCTTCGATTGAGCCACCTAGCGCCCAACCCCCATCCGCAAGAGACCAAAGATACAAAACTGCCACGAGAAACACACCCAACCGTGCGCCCGGCCTACGCCCAGTCCTCGTCGTCGTCTTCGTCGCCGTCGTCGTCTCTCTCCGAGCTATCGCTAATCGCCGCCAACCCCCCTGTGCTCTTCCGCCGTCTTGCGGTTTTCGCCTTCTTGCCCTTGGTCCTGACCCCCTTCCCCCTGCCGGCGACGCCACCTCGTTTCTTGGCTGTCGAAAGCGCGTCCCCCGCGCTCGCTCTCCTGCGCGTACGGGCGCAAGCGGTGCCGCCGACAGGTTGTGTTTCGTTGGAAGAATCAGGTATGCAAAACAAACATAATCGGTCGCTCATGAGAGATTGATTGGAGGGGAGGGAGGCGAAAGAGTGCCCTAGAGAAGGAGCGCGGGTCGTGCCGATACACTAGCGGTGTACCCAATCCACGAACCGTTTTGCAAGGTCAGAGAAAACCAAGACCCCGCAAACGAATTAGCGAAATCGTGCTCAAAACAAAAACAAGCAGCGTGGAAAAGCCACAAAATTCGAAAACCTCCCACGAAAATGCCGCCGTTCAGATCTCCCCCTCCTTTCCCCTCTGCGTCACGAAATCGACGCGCGAACTGCACATAATCAACGCGAAATACACGCGCGTCAACGGTATGACGCAAACACCGCGCTCTCCCACCTCTTCTTGGCGCGCGCACCCCCGGTGGAAGAAGCCAACCCTCGCTTCTTGCCGCGCTTCTTGGGGACGTTGCTGTCCGACCCCGAACCGGCATCGGTCTCGCCGCCCCCGCCGCCGTCTTGGCCGTCGGACACGGCCTCTTCCAGGCCCTCCCAGCCGGCGTAATCCTCGGGGTCGTCCTGCGCGAGACGTCTCAACTCCATGTAGAAGGCCGACAGCTGGAAGAAGAAACGCAAGGCATGGAAGGGTAAGGAGCGTCTTAGGAGGGTCGTGGATAACGAGAAAGGGCTTTGTTTGTGGTTTGGACAACAGCGGCGTGGCTAGCGAGGGGCGCGGGGCGTCCTGGATGCACGGACATATTCCCACATACCCGGGGGGGGGGGGGGGGGAGACGGTGGTGGTGCCAATACAAGGAACGGTCAGCTGACTACTGTAGGGAAAAGGGTGGTACTCTTTAAATAAAGTCCGGGCGCACCTTGAAAATGTCCACACCTCTCTCTAGCTTAAACCGTACGCAAGAAAAAAAAAAAGCGATACGCAGAGACTTGAAGGAATGCACGAGCTCGGTCACCCGACAGTCGCGTTTGGTAAACTCGTAGAATCTCTGGGTTGAGCATTCGTATCTCTCTCGAGCGAAAAAAAACAAGTTTTAAACGCGAAAAGCGCAGGGTCGAGAGCGCACGAGAAGGTGGACAGGGATTGCTGAACCCGTTTCTCGCGGGACATGTTCAAGGCGAGCACCGCAGGAAGAAAATTGGAGAGTTCCTCCTTCCTCGACACCCAGGCTGTTATACAATGTATAGCGCGCCAAACGAAAATACACGGAACGGTGTACACAGCCTCCCGGTACAGATGTTACGATGGGACAAAAAAAAAAAAAAGGGACGGCGATGACGCCAGGCGCGCGAGCCAGGTGCTCCTCCACAGGCCACCACAACGCCCCCACGATAAAAAAGCCAAACTCTCCACTCCAAAGGCATGAAACCGCGACTCACTTCCACCGGAGACCCGGAGTTCAGGACTTCCGCGGCTGACGTGGCCGCAGCCGCTATGGAAGAGGTGTCGACAACGCTCTTCCCTGCTCCCTTCTTGGCCGTAGTGAAGGGATTGAACGTCTCCGGGGGAGGGTTCGGGGATTGCGCTTGCTTCTCATTGGCCTGGCGAAGAAAAAGAGGCCGAGTTCATCAAGGCAAGCGTTGGCAGCGGACGGAGTGTGTCGAGGGGGGAAACACCATGGGGGCGTAGGAAGACGCGTCCAACGTGCCGAGTGTCTCAATCGTCGTGGGTTATTATTGGTGGTCGTTGGCGTCCGTCTTTTCCTGTTGGCCCTTCGGCTCCCGTGCTCCCAACGTTCGGTGCACGTGTTGCTTTGGGCGATTTCGTAGTCTTTGATCTCTGGCCATTTCCCGTTGGCCTTCTCACCTTCGTGGCCTCATTGGGCTTGTATGACTGGCACCTGGCGGCCGTCAGCCCGTAAGCCGACTTGAGGTAAACCTTGAGCCGAAGCAGCATGCTGAACGCCGCGGCTGCGGAGCAGGTCTTCCTGAGATGCATCATGCTCTCCTGCCACCACCGGTTTCGGAACGCGTACGTATGCATACGTGTGTGTGTTGCCACAGATAGGAACGCGAGCGAGTGAGGGGAGAAGGTAAGCCATCCTCTGGGGAACATTTGGTGTCTTGTCTTGACCTGTGTTCGGCCGTGTCCTTCTGCCTTTTCTTCTGTGTCTGGCTGGAAAATGGTCGTAGTCTTCCTCCAGGACGACATGCATAGACCCGGCCGTTGAGGCTGGGCAAAAAAAAAGCTGTGGACGCATTTCGAAGTACAAAATCAGTTTAGGCAACACCAGGCGCATTTATTTTCCGTCGAGATTTCCCAAAAACATTTGACTGAAGCAAACCAAAGAACTCTGGAAAGAAAGAAACAAGAACCGAGCGATTTAGAACGGAATACAAAACGTATGCAGCCACCAAAAGCACAAAAACAGTACTACGGCGTAAACACCATGGAAAACACACAGCTCAGAGATGACAAAAGACAAACAAAACCGAATCATACAGGTTGGGAGAGCAGTATCAACAACAATATCACAAACCACGCACAAACCAAACACAGACGACGCACCTCTTCCGCACTCGCCGCTCCCAATCCCGCTGCCGACGACGACCCGCCGCCGCCCACGGCGGGGGGCGCCGTGGCGGAGCGCGAGGGGGCCCGCGGATTGCCGTTTTGGCTGCTATTCTCCGGGGTGGTGAGATCGGCGACAACGCTGACCCGGTGCCCTCCTTCCTGACGCTCTCTCGCCGCATGCAAGCCCAGATCATCTTCGTCAATGTCGTCGCTATCTGGGGGGGGCGTCGGCACGCCTGAAATGCGGGTCGGGGGGGGGGGGGGGGGCAAGGTACCTGAGGGGGGGGAGGGAAGGCGGTTAAAAAAAACCCAAAAAAGGGGAAGGGATTCTTGAATTTTAACCAGGGCCACCCCAAAAGGGAAAAAAAAAACTGGGAAAGAGGCCCGTATTTTCCGGCAAAAAAAGGGCCACATTTTTGCAAAAAAAATGGAAACCCCAAAAAACAAAAAAAAAATTTTCCCCCCCCCCAAGCCAAAAACCAAAAAACCCCAAACCAAAACCCAAACCACGGGGGAGAAATTGGGTTTTTTTTTTTCACAAAAAACAAAAGCCCTAAAGCGGGGGCCGGGGAAAAAAAAAAAAACTTTTAAAAACTGGAAAAAAAAAAAAAAAA